CTCAGAATGGTACACTTACATAAACGCACACCATACATACATACATACCAATTCACGTACACAGTTTAAAACACATACACATATACATATATATATATACACATACACACACACTCTCTCGCTCTCCCCCCCCCCTNTCTATATATATATATATATATATATATATATGTACACACACACATATATACATATACACACTCTCAAACTCACACACACACACACACACACAAACACACACAAACACACACACTCTCACACACACACACACACACATATATATATACATATATATAATAATATATATATATGTATATGATGTGTTTATGTATATGTGAACGTAGATGTATATTTGTATATTTATGTTTATATTTGTATATCTATATGTATACGCATTTGTCTATGTATATGTATTTGTATATGTATTCTCCTAGGTTCCGATTGTTGCTTTAAGCCTACACGCCTATAATATTAGGATACATTGACATTCTTCTCTCTGATCGAATCTTTGTAAAACAAAGAGCCAATACATAGCCATATTTTCCACCACAGTTTATCCTTAGTTATAAAATGGATAAAAAGCTAAGAATCATGTAAATCCAAATCATACTTTTGTGATCGAGTAGATATTTTGTTGTTTGTTGTTATCGTTTTAGTACGAAGTGGATACGCTTCGCCTTCACGACTTTAGGTTTCATCTGCGAGAATACTGTTTTTTTTTGGTGTACAAAGAGGTTGTGTAATCGTGAAGCAAGTTTTAGTTTTTTTTTTGAATTATATTTTTTTATAAAATGTATAAAATATGAGGTTTCTAGTATACAAAACACATTCCAACTGGTGTAGTGGTAACATAGATGATTTCCATTCATCTGCCATGGGTTCGATTCCCGTGTTGGAGACTAGTCACGTTTGTATTTTTATTGTTTTAATTAAAATATACATAACTGTTAGTATAGCGATAATAAGAGTGGATGAAACCATAGACTTCTAAATTGACAAAATATTATTAAATGTAGGAGGCTATGGTATGGATGAATGTACATATATTTTATTTTGCATGTGATGCAGTCGGAGTTATAGACCCTTGTTCCACGCACGTGAGTCGTGATGTACCAAAGTCCTATAGCATATTTCTTTAGATATGAGATACAATCAACCTTGCCAACTTTAAATGGAGAGTTAAAATTTAGATTTATTTAAATTATATTATTATGCAAAGTATAATTCTTTTTACATGATTCAATCGTAGTCATTGACACTAGTTCCAAATACAATTGGTATTGAAGTCTTCCGTTGGTCTTAGATACGCCAAATTGAAGGCACTTAGAAATCTATTAAGCAATCTTCGTGACAGTTAAGCTTTACGGAAAGAAACAACATAGTAAAAAATTGAAAGTTTTTAGTGAATTCATGATGTGCTTTTTAATAGAAGTGTCTGATTTAGGGCGAGTCATAAGGGTTCAAGTTGTAGGTTATGATAAAATAATAATAATAAAAAATTCGAAATTCGAAAGTTTTTATCAACCGTATGTGGATAACTTCTGATCTTATAGCGACGACTCATGAGCAGACTCAGACGCCTGAGTGGGAAATATTATTGAAATACAATAGTTTAAAACCATGAATAGAGTACTGCATGGTAAAAGAGGTTATGTGATGAATATCAACAGCCCGGGAAACTGACCAATACTTGCTAAAAGCATTTCGTATTGAAAAATAAAACATTCTACCATTGCGACTATCATACCTCACATAGAGTAGATCGTATACAACGAATAGATGAAGACTTCCGCACCTTACAAGTAGTATAAAGTCAAGGTGAACGTTATATCAGACTTAACAATTATGGCATGTTGTTTTAGAATTTAGAAGGCTATGAATATGTAGACAAGATATATAATCAATAATGTGTGTGTGAATAGCCAATACCAGCCCCAGGCTGTGACAGCCTCACTTCGGCAGTCGGCCCACGGACAGGCCATACCTGCCTTGGCCGCTTTGATATTTAGTATATTTAGTATCATTAGACGTGGTCCAATATTGAAAGGAAAAAGAAAAGACAATATTTATGAATGTAGACAAGTCGTCGAACAAGAGTTTTAGAGTAGCAGGCAGAAACAAAAGTAAATATTCTCCTTTCGTTGTGGTCATATAGAGAGATTGGAGGCAAATAAATAAATACTGTATGCATTTTACAGGAAATGCAGCGTGATTATAATGATTCACAACTTCACATGTGCCATTTGACTGTATGTCCTGTAAAGTTGTTTTTGTATATAGCTTGTGATTTTTATAGAATGCGTATGAAAATTAAAAAAAATATACGGCCCGGAGCCCTCTGAAATTAATCATTTTCAGACAGGGGCTATGAAAAATAGACCACCAAAAAGACTCTACAAAATCCATAGCCCTCTAAATTATACATAAAACCTCTGTTTTCCCGTTTTCCTGGGCCTGCTGGTGGTAACAAAAGGCCAGCTGTTCTCCAGTATAAAACATTTGC